GCCGGGAAGGGGTAAGAGATGGAGTGACTGACCATTGGTGGCAGGCTGGAGAGCGAGCGAACAAAAGGCAATTCCTGAAATACCAGTTTGCACGGATCCGCCTCTACCTGGGAAGAAACAAAGACCCCATCCGCGTCATCTCTGGCAGAGTTTTTGCCTGCCTGCTTTGTGCTGGCGCTGGATTCAGGCGCGTACACTTCTGCTTTAATCCCATAATTGACACTCTTGTTAGCCCAGTGAACTACTGGGTTGGGAAAGAACGTTTCACTCTTCACCAGTTCAACCCACGCTTTGGCTTGTTGCTCCCGCCGGATAACTTTCCTCCAGTGCAAGAGAAACATGCACGTGAAGAGCAAGATGTAGCACAGCCCTATGCTCCCAAAGTAGAGGGGCAACCAACCTGCAAAGCAAAAACAAATTGATAAAAAAATCTCGGGGATGGCAACCTTCACCTTGTTTAGAGCCTGGCAGGAGCTATTCTACTACAGCTAATACTAAACTATTCTGTGATTTTTATTATTAATCATGCACGCCCTTCTTTTAAATAGGAGAGCTGCTTTCCCCTGTTTCCTGTATCCTTCTCACCTGGTTAAGGTCCACACAAGTGTGTCTGAGGCTGGGACTTGAGCAACACCCAACTTCTAATTAATCTTATAAAGCTAGTAATTCTGACGTCTGCTTTGAGAACAAGCTGCAGCTTTAAATCATAAAAGGAGCTGGCTCTGTACAAACGTACACCAGCGCATGTTAGCAAAATAGGGTGAATGCACTGGGCTTTTCGTTTCTGACGTAGCTGAAATCAGATGCAATTGAAAGTGCTCAACAGGCTTCTGCGCTGGTTTTACTAAACTGGTTTAAACAGTAGTCCCCAACCTTTGATGGCCCACATGCACACAGCAGTACTGAGCAAATAATTCAGGAGGGCAATGTCATACTTGGCTCCCCCTGTCTACTAGATCTTGAATTTCTGGGGCAGCATGAGGCAGGAGGCGTTTGTACATGCTCCCCTGAAGCTGTGCTCTGGGGATCATTGGTGTTAACAAACCATCTTTCATTAAATCAGGCAAGCCCATGAGCTGTAAGGTTCAAATCCTAGCAGCAGGGGTGTAGGTTGTAGCCATGTTGGTCTAATAAAAGAGATCAGAAATCCCAGCAGCATTCGTTTAGCTTGTCATACCAGAGAGATTTTAAATCTTTAGAAGTCTTTAGCTGCACTACGTCTGGTCAAAGTCCTGTCTGCCCCGTGTTGCGTGTGCAGAGGCCTGGTGCTTGTAAGGATAAGACACAACACCAACAACCAAGGGACACAACACCAAGGGAAACCACTGCTTTAAGCTACTTGGAATAAGCTCTTGCAAGTGCAAGAGCATGAAAAAGGCCAGTTACGGGCTTGACCCAGGGGCTGCCTTGTGCGTGTCGATTGTCACTGTGGTCCCTTCTCATCTTAAAATATGTGGCTGTTACTAACAAATACTTTCCGACCAAGATTTACCATTCTTAATTCTAGTTAATACATAAAATGACACTCCACCCTGTGTAATCTTACATAGATAAAACCATACCTCAGCGGTCCCCAATCTGCGGTACACGTGCCAGCAACGGTACACAGACAACCTGCCCGTGGGTACGCGTTAACAGATTTATTTTAATTACTTTATACGACAAAAAACGTGCTGGCAGTACTTAAGATGGAGCTGAACAATTTGCTGGCGGTCCTGAAGGTTGTATCATTTTAAATGGGCGGTGTGCAATCAGTCCAAGTTTGGGAACCGCTGCCGGAGATGGAAACGCTGCCTCTTCGGGCCATTGCTCGTTACCACGACCTTCTCAATTTTTCTCCGAGGGGGATTGCCTGTCTCAAGGTCAGAGCTATTATACTGGGTAGCAGCGACTGTGTTTCATATCAAGCAGTGCTACATGGGATGGCCGATGGCAGCATAGTATTGTCTTTTTCACTTGATCTCAGTTGCTGGTCACTGGTCTGCTCTTGTCACGTCATTCGGTACTTCAAGGGGTGGGGAGAAGTACTACAAGATTTATAAGAAAATAAGCACTGTACTCACTGCTGGGGATAACCATTGTTGGCCCACAAACGCTCTTAGTGCATCAGAGGCTTGTGCCGGTTCCCACCCCTGGCCTGAAGAAGGGAAGGAAGGAGACGGTGGTCCCAGCTGCAGCCATGGGCCGCACAGAACCGCCACCGCTTGGGCGTTCTAGGTTG